TTTACTGGGAATAAGCCTACTCAAGATTCCAGACATCATGGCGCACAAATATTTTTCTTTTAATTTTTTTAACAATTCAAATTGAAATATACAATATGTGTCTGTATAGAGCTGTGTAATTATTTATTAACATACTATTTCACAAGTTTGGTGTTATTCCTGTTACAAACAACTAGGATAGTTATTCTTGAAATATCCCACTTTTTAACCACAAATTTGACCAGTGTCATTATTTATATGTAAAAATGGAGGCACCAACCATTTCAAAACACCAGTAAAACTACAATACTCTCTTTTGCTACTGTGTTTTTTAACATGTCAACAAACAGCATGGCTCCCCAAAACACTTAACATGAGAGAGGGGGGGGGGGGGGGCAGTGCATTGACACAAGTTACAGTACCACTGTCTCAAACCTAAATTAAGAATGTATTATTTAAGGCGACACAACCAAGCTCAGCCTACAGGCCATAAGCAAACAGCAGTGAGCTCAACACCACTGAAGTCACCAACAACGTGCACAGACAAGATTTTAGGGATCCAGACCCTTTCTATAGCTGTTTTCCACAGAGATCCTGCAATCAAAATGGAAAGAATGTCCGCCAATACTTATCCCATTCCCTGCTCCGTACCTTTCATACAGAGCAGCGAGCCAGCAAATTGGCCTAATAATCCCGAATAATAAAGCAGTATGAAAGTGGCTATATAACAACAACATTATGACAACAACCATAATCCATATTCTAGTCTCAACCGATCCTGCACAACAATTTGCCCATGCAGGAACCAGCAGCAGAGTTAAGATGATAAAAGATGCTTTCACTCACCACAGCTTAGGTCTCACATGAGGAGAAAGGCGGCACAGCGGTTTTTCCTCTGGGCAAACTTCTGGATGACCGAAGTTTTTCAGACCGTCCGCCGAATAATTGTGGCCTTATATATAGTCTATGGTTGTGGCTTTTTTATATACAGTCTATGGTTGTGGCTTTTTTATATACAGTCTATGGTTGCAGCCTTATATACAGTCTATGGTTGTGGCCTTATATACAGTCTATGGTTGTGGCCTTTTTATATACAGTCTATGGTTGTGGCCTTATATACAGTCTATGGTTGCGGCCTTATATACAGTCTATGGTTGCGGCCTTTTTATATACAGTCTATGGTTGTGGCCTTTTTATATACAGTCTATGGTTGTGGCCTTTTATATACAGTCTATGGTTGCGGCGTTTTATATACAGTCTATGGTTGTGGCCTTTTTATATACAGTCTATGGTTGTGGCCTTTTTATATACAGTCTATGGTTGTGGCCTTTTTATATACAGTCTATGGTTGTGGCCTTTTTATATACAGTCTATGGTTGTGGCCTTTTATACAGTCTATGGTTGTGGCCTTTTTATATACAGTCTATGGTTGTGGCCTTTTTATATACAGTCTATGGTTGTGGCCTTTTTATATACAGTCTATGGTTGCAGCCTTATATACAGTCTATGGTTGTGGCCTTTTTATATACAGTCTATGGTTGCAGCCTTATATACAGTCTATGGTTGTGGCCTTTTTATATACAGTCTATGGTTGTGGCCTTTTTATATACAGTCTATGGTTGTGGCCTTTTTATACAGTCTATGGTTGTGGCCTTTTTATATACAGTCTATGGTTGTGGCCTTTTTATATACAGTCTATGGTTGTGGCCTTTTTATATACAGTCTATGGTTGCGGCCTTATATACAGTCTATGGTTGCGGCCTTTTTATATACAGTCTATGGTTGTGGCCTTTTTATATACAGTCTATGGTTGTGGCCTTTTTATATACAGTCTATGGTTGCGGCCTTATATACAGTCTATGGTTGTGGCCTTTTTATATACAGTCTATGGTTGTGGCCTTTTTATATACAGTCTATGGTTGTGGCCTTTTTATATACAGTCTATGGTTGTGGCCTTTTTATATACAGTCTATGGTTGCGGCCTTATATACAGTCTATGGTTGTGGCCTTTTTATATACAGTCTATGGTTGTGGCCTTTTTATATACAGTCTATGGTTGTGGCCTTATATACAGTCTATGGTTGTGGCCTTATATACAGTCTATGGTTGTGGCCTTTTTATATACAGTCTATGGTTGCGGCCTTATATACAGTCTATGGTTGTGGCCTTTTTATATACAGTCTATGGTTGTGGCCTTTTTATATACAGTCTATGGTTGCAGCCTTATATACAGTCTATGGTTGTGGCCTTTTTATATACAGTCTATGGTTGTGGCCTTTTTATATACAGTCTATGGTTGTGGCCTTTTTATATACAGTCTATGGTTGTGGCCTTTTTATATACAGTCTATGGTTGTGGCCTTTTTATATACAGTCTATGGTTGTGGCCTTTTTATATACAGTCTATGGTTGCAGCCTTATATACAGTCTATGGTTGTGGCCTTTTTATATACAGTCTATGGTTGTGGCCTTTTTATATACAGTCTATGGTTGCGGCCTTATATACAGTCTATGGTTGTGGCCTTATATACAGTCTATGGTTGCGGCCTTTTTATATACAGTCTATGGTTGCGGCCTTATATACAGTCTATGGTTGCAGCCTTATATACAGTCTATGGTTGCAGCCTTATATACAGTCTATGGTTGCAGCCTTATATACAGTCTATGGTTGCGGCCTTTTTATATACAGTCTATGGTTGTGGCCTTTTTATATACAGTCTATGGTTGCGGCCTTATATACAGTCTATGGTTGCAGCCTTATATACAGTCTATGGTTGCAGCCTTATATACAGTCTATGGTTGCAGCCTTATATACAGTCTATGGTTGCGGCCTTTTTATATACAGTCTATGGTTGCGGCCTTTTTATATACAGTCTATGGTTGTGGCCTTTTTATATACAGTCTATGGTTGCGGCCTTATATACAGTCTATGGTTGCAGCCTTATATACAGTCTATGGTTGCGGCCTTATATACAGTCTATGGTTGCAGCCTTATATACAGTCTATGGTTGCAGCCTTATATACAGTCTATGGTTGTGGCCTTTTTATATACAGTCTATGGTTGTGGCCTTTTTATATACAGTCTATGGTTGTGGCCTTTTTATATACAGTCTATGGTTGTGGCCCTGCAGTGTTTGTTGTGCTGCTCAAGGAGTGCCTGTAGTGCACCGATGTTTACCCTTCCAAATAACTTTAAGCCCAGTTTCAAAGCAACATCCAGATGACTCCCACTGTTCTTATGTTTTGCAGTCCTTTCAGAAAGATTAAGATGAAAACAGGCACCTGACGGTCTCCCTCGAAGCATAACGGTAACAGCAGGTCACATGCGACGCTGTCCGGGGCTCCGGTCTTCGTACTAGCTTGCTGTTAGCGATGGAGCTAACCTGTTAACAGTACAATACACAAAACTGTGTAGCAGTGTGACAAACTTATTATAAACTAGCCAGGCTACTAACTGTTTAATTAAATTACACTTTTCTTTCTTCTGCAGCTTGTAGCTACCTCCACAGAAAACACACACACATTCAGCCCCGGTGTACTCCGATCTGCGCTGCCTGTTAGTCCCGCCCCTTAACCAGTCACAATTTTAGAAACGTGATTGCCATCTACATGGACGAATCGGAGGCCTCTCCTAAAATAAACACTATAGTCTGTCACACCTCAGGGTCAGAGGTTACCCTCTTAAAGTGACAGAGCCTAATATGACGACACTTGTATGCTGCTTTAACTCAAACCAAGGGGTTATATAATATTAGTGATGGGCACCAATTAAAAATTTTAATCACGATAAGACATATGATTTTCTGTGATTAATCGTGATTTAACAAATTTAATAATGCATTCTAAAGTAGTGTATTGCACACTTAAATGTACTGCTATATACACAAAAGTGCAATAACATGTGGTTTTTTTACCAGCAGTATTCTCTTTACACAGTAGCTATAAATCTAAACTTATGTATTAATGTATTCAAATCAAATATAAAACCAAAGCTAATTGCCACTGCCTACCTTTTATAGCTTTTTAAAACAAGTCCAGAGCCACGATCATAACAGGCACCTTCTGAGCAACAGGTTAACATATATAAATATGTTTCCTTGTTTTTTTTCTGAACAGGTATCAGCAGAAAGATATTGCTTTTATCAGGGAGCAGCAGAAACAGTCTTTTCAGTGGCAAGTGTCTCTGTCAGAGTGAGGTAAAGTGTAATGGTGGTGCTCACCTCCCGCCCCTTGCAGAAGTTGAATTGTCTTGAACTTTTTGAATGAGAGGCAGAGCACAAATCATTGGAAGAGAGACTGATCCTCCTGTTTGTGAGTTTCCAGACTCTATTACTGTTTACTATATAGGACACCAACAGGAGGGAATTCGCATAACAGAGAAAACTAGATGTAGGTCCATCAGGTAAAGTTGTGTAGCCTGTAATTTTAACTTAAGTTAAATAGGCTACAGCTGTTTAGCGCACAGAAGCCATTGCCATGGTTACTCTCCATAGAGCACCTGCCGTTTACTCGCGAAGGCTTGTCTCCTGTTTACCTGTGAAGAGCAGAGCAACCTCGCTGGGCCAAGCGACTACGTTGCGATTTTAAGAATGTTCCTAAGACTGACATCTTCCCCAGTACTAATCAGCATGCAGTGTGTAGCTATCTACTACGCTATGGCATTTGATCACTTATCTTGCGTTTGTTTATCTGCTCCCACACGCTGCATCTAGTGTAGTCTGCCGAAGCCTCCCTCCGCTGCTTGTTTGGGTGGGTGACTTGCAGGCTGATCAACATCCCACCCCTCCTTTGACCCATTTGACTGTATGTGTATTCAGAGCCAGTGAGCGACCTTTCAAAATAATGACATGAAAAGGTGTATTTTGCATAATATGGGACCTATTTTCTCCTAATGTTTTTATTGCTAAATTAAGCGTTTTCAAAACATGTTAAAAGAAAGGAAATATGTATCAAAATTAACAAAATAATGAAAGAAATACAAAATGAAACAGAGTTTGACTCTTCAGTCTTTAATTTGGTCACTTCAGTTTTGTCAGCCTTTGAGTCTGAATGGAGGGATGTGCCAGCATTGTTTTAATTGACATTATCTGTCAGGTAGGTTCACCCTTCTCCTCCAGACTTCCCTTACTCCTCTTGTTTGCAGAGATTTTTGCTTGTTTTGAGCCTGAATCATCCTCATTGGTCTTCTTTCTCTTCTTTATATGATCATCCCAGGCATGGCTGGACCTGGCCTGTTCTGTGTTGCTGAGAAATTCTAAAAACAAATAAACAACATTTAACCCTTTATCTACATGAATTCCCATCAATCGCCTACCGTTTTATATTTTAATTAGCAAATCTGGGAATGTGTCAGTTAAATGTTATAAGCCATCATAAAATTTTATTATACAGAAGAAAAGACTAATTGATTAAAACTAAATTGAACTGGTGTGTGTGTGTGTGTGTGTGTGTGTGTGTGTGTGTGTGTGTGTGTGTGTGTGTGTGTGTGTGTGTGTGTCTGAGCTTACTTTTCATGCTGTCTGTCAGCTCTTTATTGAGGTTTACACTCTTCTTCTTTGCTGGGTAGTTGCCATCTGAGGTTATGCATGGATCAACATCATCCCTCTTTCTTTTGTACAGTGGTGACCTTTGTGGGATTGCTTGCTCACCTGCCTCTGTTGGCACTGCATCCAGGTATTCATCACTCCTTGTCTTAGCTGGGATTCTATGTTGATCAAAAAATAGTTTGAATCTCTAAAATAATAATTCGAAGTTTTGGGAAATAGGATTATTTCCTTTCTTGCTGAGAGTCAATTTTCCTCTCATCTGTAAGCATGGAGCTCCTGCATAAAGACTGCACACAGAGGAAAACAGTAAAGCAGGTTGTCTCTAAAGTTCAAAAACACACCTATCAACAGCCCTGAAGCTCACCTATTAATTAATTCTTACACCATAACGTAAAAACGTCTAGTTGTGGTTTTATGTGGAATTATGTGCAGTTACTATTTCCCCCCTGAACTTCCGGGAGTCTTGTTGTCATTATGTGGTTGGCTCTAGCTCCGTTGGTGATGCACATACAGGAGCTAGAGGTGTCATTCTTCTCAGCAAGAAAGCAAATAAAGTATATATAAAACTATTCATCTAAAATATCAAATAATCAATACAGGGAGATTTTTCAAACACCTACATGTTGCCACACTCTGATTCATCAGCACCATCACTTTTTCTCTTCTTCGGTGGACAGTTTTTCTCGCTGATGACGCTGCTCTGGAGGGACAGTTCCTCCCTGCTGCTTGGGTGACCCTCGTTTGGAACACAGGCCGGGCTGGCAGTGCAGTTAGAGGCCTTCACGATCAGGCAAGTTTTCAGGGTCACCCGATTCACATCCTCATCATCATCAGAACTCCGACCGTGGCAGATGTTCATCAGCTTCACACACAATTTCACACTGGAAGTCAAACAGTCTATCAGGATCAGCCTATCAATAATAAACACAGCATCTAAGCACAGACTTACTGGTGGCTGTCAAATGTGCCGACGAGGTGGCTCATCGTTATAAATCGATGCTGAAGAATTTGGCTTGGGGTAATTCTTTCAGATGCATCCACCTTCAGTGTCTTTGTTATCAAGTCGACAAAGCTTGCCCGGTCACATTCATCAGCACTGGCATCTTCTCCTGAGAGTTTACAGGACACCTGGTGCAAGATCAGAAATAAACAAAATGGTAAGAATATCTGAACTTGTTTTGTTATGTCTTTTTAAGTTATAAAAATTCCCACCTTCTTAAGATCACTCAGACCGGTAATTGTGACTGGGTTACAGGTAATATTCTTCGCTTCAACTGTTGACTAAAGAAAGGAAATGTTTGGGTTACTTAATTTGTTACAAATGCAATCAAAAACCTAAAGCAATGACCAAAATAGAATGAACGCCTAAATGAACACCAAATAATGTTACCATAAATCTCCACAGGGGGGGTTCCAATCCTGTGTATTTTGCATTGAAAAACTGTTCTGTATACAATCCAGCATTCAGCAGATGGTCAGGTGGTTTCCCAGTTGCGCATAAGATATGCCTCATCTGTGGGGACAACACAACGTTGCGTTATACTTTAATTACGGTAAAGTTTGTTAAGGGCTCACAAGAGGATTGCAAAAGTTAAGTTATCTACAAGTTAGAAACATACCGATCTCTGCTTATCAAGCAGAATGAGTGATTTTTTTGCTATTACTTTGATTTAAGCATCTCTAGCTTGAAATGTGTCATTTAAAGACATTGTCCTTTTTCACAAGAAAATGCTAAAGATAAGAGAGAGTGTAGTGGAACATGGCTTCTAAAGTGTAATACTGACCATATCATATTCATCATTGCCAGGGAACAGTGCAGTGCCAATCAACATTTCAGCTGCAATGCAGCCCAGAGACCATACGTCAATAGCCTCATTAAAGGAAGCTCCCAGCAGGACCTCTGGCGATCTTGGACAAGCAAGAGAAACACAAACACGTTACTGTGGTAATAACTATAACTAACTTAGAAGTTAACTCCTGCTTATGGTCTACACTTCATTCATTTGATAAGCTTTCAGACATGGTTGTGCTAGATACACAGATGTGCAATCATTTACCTACCTGTACCATTGGGTCTGAAGAGTCACACCCGTCCATTCCTCGGGATTGACAAAGGCTAAGCCAAAGTCGATGATTTTCACTCTCAATGGCTGCCGTAAATGGTCCACCATCATAATATTTTCAGGCTTTAAATCTGCATGAACAATCCCTATGCGCTTTAGAAACTCCAGAGCTATAGCCAACTGAAATGATGAAGTAAACAGTAAAATATAAAAAACTATTACAAAACATGTTTATTGGCAGATGTTTTGAGAATGAGAATGCAGCGATGACCAACACAAACATGTACTTTGTAAATGAAAAACATGACAAAATGTATTACTGTTTTTGTCAATAATTATAAATATATACAGCCAATTACTGTATATGAACATGTAAATAGCTATTAGTCTTAGTTTGGGGATAGTATACACTAAGGTCTTTTGCCTTAATTTGAAAAAACATAATCCACCATGAGCCACCATCTCTAGTCCTTGGGGACATTGTTTGGGTTTACATACTGCAGAAATCTGTCCATATTTTTTATTTTAGGGTTTTACTAATTAAATGTCATCTCAGCTTATCTTAACTGTGATTTTGACAAAACTGCACACATGCATTTATGAGATAAAGTACACCCTTCATCCAGTGCTTTAGACCTTATAATGCAATTTGTGTTTGAAATTTTGTGTTACAGTAACAAACCTGTTGCACAATGGGGCGGATCTCCATCAACTTAAGAGGCTGAAAATTGTTCATCTGCAGGATTTCATACAGATTTATATCCAGCTTTTCAAACTCAAGACAAAAACGTCCCTCGAAGGTGAAGGAGTCGTTCCATCTGACGATGTTAAACATATCTGAGTCAAGCTCTTTCATCTTTTTAAGGATTACCTCCTGGGGAATGTATGTGTTGAATGTTAGTGAGAGATTTGAATTCATTGTACTTTTGAATTATTACACAGGAATTACAAGGGTAATGTTGAAACACAACATAATTTGTGTTGCACCTCTTCCTTTGCCTCCTCAATGCATGTCTTGCTTTTGAGGATTTTTACAGCCACCGTTTCATTGGTGGCTAACTTCCTGCACTGGGTGACTTCTCCATAGGCGCCACACCCCAGGATATCCTGGACTTCATAGAGTGAGGAGGAGGAGGAGATCAGGCCTCCTACAACAACCTGAAAGTCCTGGTCATCAATCATGGTGCAAGAGGAAATCTGCTGTTTATTTCTCACACCCGAGAGCAGAGTAGAAAAGAAGGAATTTAGACGCACAAAGTCATGTAAGTAAACATATGCTTCAATTAAAATAAAATCTTAAAATTACATTTAAAGAAGCACTAATAACCCACAGGAAAATACTAGATTTTTAGACCCTTTACCTCCAGACAGATTTTTTCCTGCTTTTGTTGTATTCATCTTCCCATTGCAATAAGTAAACAAACTGCAGCTATATATTGTTTGTATAATATGGTTATTTTATTTTCAGCAGACTTAAAATACAGATGGAAACTTTTACAGTATTGTAAAAGCTGAACAAAGTAACCAGTGAGAGATGAGATTCAACTAATTTCTGCTCATAGTATCTTCTCATCATGTTTCCAATACACTGTTTCTATACTGTATTATGTTTGTTTTCACTGTTACTTCTAAAACCAATCTGCTAATGTCAACTACATTAGTTAGTAGAATCAAAGGTAATCAAATACAGGCTCAACACAATGATTTTATATCTACAGTGCAATCAGATGTTCATGAAATCTTGACTTCAAGAAGAGACTTTTTGTGGCATTTGGAAAATGTAATCAACTTACCAGACGTCCAGAGGTAACTTCATGCCAGTGATGTTTTAATACTGAATTGTATGATAACTGTTACTAGACAAATGGTTCAAGGCTGTCTTCAAGTTGTTGGGCCAACAAACACAGTCTCGTATTCCATCACATTCTGTTCCATCATTATATCATCATTCTGACACACTTGTAGATGGAACGGAACCACAGCAGGCAGATCCCAGGGGGAACTTCACCAACCACACAAAGTATGGGGCAAAAATAAATATCACAAACAAGTATTAACATACATGTAAACAAGTATGCCCTTTAAAGCATGTGTATGCATACAAGTGTGCAGCTGTGTGGTGTGCAAAATAAATTTAATTATAAGTTACAAGTTAAAGAGATGTATTGCACTGTGCCAGAAGTTACAGAAAATTTTATTCTAAAGTCCAATTAGGGAGCCTAGTAAGACCTCAGCAGCCTACCAGTCCACTGATATCCATACTGACACTGGCAATGGCGACCGGCAGGGATGATCTCCTTTGTCGCTCGGTGGAACCTCATTGGAAGTTTAAGTTTCAAAATGGAGTGGGAGATGTTCAGGATGCTAACCAGTTTGGACAGCACCTTCTTCTCTGTCACCACCTCCTGAGAATCCAGCACAACTAGAATCACTGAGCCGGCCTTTCTAACTAGCTTGTCAAGCTTGTTAGCGTCTGTCTCCCTCACGCTCCACAGCACACGCGGCAAGATAGTGCTGGCCACCACAGACTGGTAGAACGTCTGCAGAATGTTGTTGTAGAAGTTGAGCTTCTGCAGGAGAGCGGCCCTGGCCCTTCTTCTAGAGGGCTGCTGTGCGGCTATGTGAATGCAGTCTAATACGACAGTCCTGCTATTAATCCTACATGACAGTTACAATGTTCTTTAGAAAGCTGTTGATTTATCATTATGGTCATTTTAGAGGATGGTTTGTGTTGCTGTTGATTGTATTGCATTACAATGAGAGGTGTTTCTGTAGCCTGTAATCATAAACATCACATAAATATGTAATCTGGTTACCTTTGTCACAATAAGGGATTACTGAAACCCTCTTAACACTGATGGATTTCTGCAGGACAAACCTCTAAATTCTTTACCAAGTAAACACTTCACTTTCAGGCTTTTGTTGTCTGTTCATGCACATCACAAAGACTTCAGATGGGAAAAGTATATCTGTTTGGAGTAGAGTGGCATAAAAGGAAAAATCATTAGTTCTAGCAATGCAGCCTTGTATCCAAACTAAATACATTCAAACTGAAACTGAAAGCCAGGACACGTGTTTAATCAATGAAAATATTTTAAGCAACCTAGAAACCACTGTACTGTAAAAAAGTAATTTGATATTGACATATTGAACATAAAATGAAAGCAAAACGTTGGAGTTATTGGAGCATGCTATTTATTATAGTTTCCATATTGTCTTGGTACGTTTTCTCAGAGTGAAGGTGCCATCCACAGATCATTAGTTAAAGGGAGAAAGTCCAAAAACTTTGTGTGTTGAATACCTAACTGTTGCCCCGATCATCACCCTGTGTAACCTGATAAATCTTCCTGCGTCGGTGTGTATTGAAGATGTGTACAATGTTTTTGTTTTGTTCAGTTATTTCATCTTCAGTTAAGAGCACACACAGTTAGAGAACAGAATTTTTTAATGGATTATTATTATTTTACATTTATTTGTCTGACAACAACAACAAAATACCAGAGAAATTGTAACATATTAATAGCGAGGAAAGCAGATCAATATAAAATACAACCATACAGTCCTGAACAAGAAGCAATGCATGTTGCAATTTTTGTATAATAAGTGTATTTGTATTTGTATCGATGCTCAAGTGACTGATAAACATCAGCAGATGTGGATTGTTGAAGACTTTTGGACTACTATATGACTTTTCACTGAAATGATCATTCCTGTACTAATAATTTGTTAATAATGATAATAATAAGTTTGATAATGTCAAATGCGTCACAGCCACTGTGATGCTTAAGTATTTATTTAAAGATTTACTTTACTTTTGTTACTAATGTAATTTAGTTTAAATGAGTGTTATCCACTCATTTATTTTGTTAAAGAAACACATAACTCAGCAAAGCTACATTAAACAGCTGAATTTATATTTTTTAAACATTAATGCTCTTGAATTTAAAAAAAACATTGTTCTGCAATAAGGTTTCTATGCTCAGTTTCTATTAAATTAGTTTTTAGCCCACAGTGAAAAAAGAGTCATTGTCATATTATGTGTTTGTCCTTGCTCTTCACTTCTGTCATCCATCAATATAAACTCATCCCCACCCCGTAAACAGATATATCAGTGACGGATCACCCCTGATTTGTATCAATAGATAAGAACTAATCAATAAGGTTAAACACACTAATGTGGTTCTAGAGTGTGGGCAAACAAATCTGTTTGTGTGTGTGTGAGAGAGAGAGAGAGAGAGAGAGAGAGAGAGAGAGAGAGAGAGTGTATGTGTAGATGGGTGGAGGACAAATACGGGCTGGGGGTGTTGGTCTGATGTAATAGAGTCAGTTTCATCACCCAAGGTATCGAGGATGAGGAGGAGGAAGACGAGAAGAGACAGAAGGGAAACGACATGAAGAGTCTAAAATGACTCTCTCTCTGTCTCTCTCTCTTTCACACACACACACACACACACACACACACACACACACACAGAAAGACAGAGACATCGGGTGTCAGCTTCCATCAGCAGCCTGTATGGCTGTGAGTTATGACCACAAATATGCGATCATTTACACTTACTGCTGCAGATAGCTAGGGGCTACTGTTCTCTCGGTGCGCGAGTGTGTGCGTGGGGGTGAATAGAGATTTTGTGTGTTAATACATAACACTTGCTCAAGTGTATTGCTGTGTCTGAAGCGCATAGCTGAAGATGAACCCAAACAAAAACTTTTATTTATATTGTTCACATCCCAATAATATAATTAAAGATATACATTCAGCTTCACAGAACGGCCCAGAAACATGTTTCATCTTTTCAGAAATACTCAAGGGGAAAAATGCAAATATTTACTGTTGTTTAACTTAACTTTCTGAAAACCTTTTCTTTTTTATGCCCCTTGGTGGCAGCGGAAACAAGCTGTGATCAAAATCTTGACATATAATCAACTTTAATGGAGCTTATTAACAAATCCAGCAGACACTAAGCAATATTGTCATTAATTTGGAGCCATATTTGTGAATTAATATGAAGAATATAAGCTCTGTAGAAAACAAAGAAATCTGACATTGTACAGTGTCAAAATTCATTTTAGGTTTAATTCATGTCATAGAACATAATGTAAATGTGAATATACACCATATATTGAAAAAAAAAAAACCTCCAAGAGCTTTCCTTTCAGTTCAGTACAGGTCATTCCAGTTCAGCTTGATTCAGTTTAGTTCAGTTTGCTTCACCTAGAAATGGCTCGCACTACTGACAGCAAGCTCATTTACTCTCCGTCTCTTGTACTCCTACTGGCTTGATGTTACACCATCAGCATCACCTACAGGGAGACAGAGACGCAACATTAGTGTGCGTGTTGTTAAGAGAAAGACACAATGACAAGCGAGACTTGTGTGTGTGATTGTAATAACCCCACCCCCAACCCCCGTCTCCTAGTGTAATCAGACTGCTGTAATATGTAAACCTCACATCACCAGGAAGTCTTCTTTTGAGGAATAACAGGAAAAAAGAGGTTTCTTTCTTCATTTTCTTTTAAAAAACATACATTTGTGAAAATATCAAATGCATTCTGTTTAATCAACGGGTACATAATGAATTCTTACTTAAACCAACATTACAAACCAGTGTAGATACAGCAAAGAGCGTATGTCTTAGTCCAACCAAAATTCTCATACACACATACATACACACACATACAAAATTCAATCATGTCTCTGCTGCTGCCTGGGGGACACAGAGTGTGGAAGCCTCACTATAGTGGAAAATCACCTTTTCCATGTTATTTTACACAGCAGCACCAACACTACACAGACACAGTGTGTCTGGCTGCATTTGCACAAGGAACCAGGAGATCTGATTTTTTTTTTTAACTCTTTGTGGTGCAGATCTCACACAGTCATGGCTGTCTCAGCCAGAGGAGTCAATGAGGAATGTGATTTTTATTCAACCGTGTAAAAAATCTGTGCCTCAAAGAGCTAATGTGGTCTTGTGAGAATAAGATTTCTCAGTGAAGTTTGTATCATCAGGATACCCTGGTCTGAATCTGGATGGTTATTTGGCAGTTACCATCATAATATTTTAACAGTGACATCAAGTTAAGTACTGTAAGTGTTGATCATTTATAGTAAAGTACGTACAATGTATTTATTAGTGATCCACACATAAGCCACAGTGAAGCTACAGTGTTGTTTTAAGTGGAGGTTCACTTTATGGGAACACTGACTGTTACCAGAAAATTTCATCATTACCATAGACCAAGACATAACAATGAGATGGGGATGGTTATACAGGTGGTAGAAAAAGTAATATGAACACCGCATGGAAAGGAATTGTAACTCAAAAGTAACTTGAGTGGTTTGACATTTTGGGAAATAATATTTTTGTTTTCTTGCCGAGAGTTAGAATAAACGATCAATACACTCTTCCTGGACTCTCTATTTCTTGCCTGGCAGGTGATGACAAGACAGTAAGAAGTCACTGTGTCCAGCCAAGAAATATTACCCCATGTGATACCACAAATAGTTGTTTTTGCACTTCAGTTTTTGGATGGATTAAACAAACGAGATGTGATGTTTCGAGGTGCTGGTAGGCAGCTTTTGTTACCTTTGGACAGAACCGGGCTAGCTGTGTCCAGTTGTAGCAGAGAGAGTTAGGAGAATGTCAGAGTGGGCCTTTTGCTTTTGATTAGGGGTGTGGTTGGAGCAGGAGGAGATAAATTAGGCACCTGTGAGCTGGGGGAAGGGGGAAGTTTCAAAGAAAGCTAAGCTAACCAGCTGCTAGCTGTAACTACGTATATGCCGTACAGACTTAAAATACGTACGTATTAAGATCAATCTTCACATGACTTTTCCTTTAATCTCAATTTCTCAACAAAACCACAATTGTATAATAATAAAATGAGGAGTTCACTGCTGGACAAATATCATATGGAACTAACTGAGGAGATATGAACCAGCAGTGAGTAGGGATCTGTGGTGTGTGGATGTTACGACCATTTCAGAGGCCTGTGGTGTAATTTGCAGTGTCAAAGAGGGGGGAAATAATGTGTTGAGCATCTCGTCAAATCGCTCCGGCTTAAACGGACTCTCTCCAGAGTGTGTTTAGGAAATTAAAGGCCAGGGATTTTTTTTCATAATTGTCTATTTTATCATTTTATTACAGCTAGCTTTCCTCTGATGGGCTCCCTTTATGATTTATCAAATACAATTACTGCGTGACTTATTTCA